CGCCACCATGCCGGGCTAACTTTTTCTATATATTTTTAGTTGTCCAGCTAATTTCTTTCTATTTTTAGTAGAGAATCCACCCCCACTCTAGGACTGACTAGGATACAAAAAAAGAAGTGAGATTACCAGAACCCAGTAGGAGCTTGGAGGACAAGCCATGCGCAGCTGGCGCAGGGACTAGCGAAGTGACAAGGTGCCACATGGCTGGGGCTTAAACCCCAAGGAGGCATAGTTAGTGCCTCTTGTGCTGAGTGTATAGGAAGATGCTAGAGCCCGAGCTGCTGCTGGAGCAGTTTTAGCAGCAGCCCAAGGCAAGGTGAGTCCCTTCTCCCCTCTCCCCTCCTTCCATTCCGCCCACACCTTTCATGAGTGAGGGAGTCCGGCAAATACAGTTTGCAGAAGCCCCTCACAGAGCTGCGTGAATATTACTGATGGATGGATAATTCTCTACATCTGTGCCTAGAAATCCCTGTCCTATGACAGAAAAGGGGTTGGGCAGCTGACCCACGAAATAAAACCAATTATCACGCTTAGCCATGTGCTGTGGTTTGAGTGTGTTCTCCCAGTAGTGATATGTTGGGATCCTAAATATGAAGGCCTCAGCTTGAGGCTGAGAAACACTAGGTAAACCGACGGGCACAGTCAACAAGTATTTTTTGAGCCTCCTGCTAAGCACTGTTCTAGGTACTGAGGATGAAGCAGGAGCTTGGATTCCGTGTAAGGACACAGAAAGTAATCACATAAACAAAAGTGTGATAATTCCAGGTGCTGAAGAGTGGCAGAAGAAAATAAATCAGAACAAGGGTTGGCAGAGCTCCTTTAGCCAAGCAGTCTGGGGACCTCTCTTAGGAGGTGGCATGTGTGGAGACCTGAATCATAATGAGGTAGACTTGCAAGGTCTGGGGTAAGAGCACTGCAGAGGGAACAGGAAGTGCAAAGGCCCTGAGGCAGAAGCCAGCCTGGCATGTGTGGCTGGAGTATAGTGAAGAAGGCAGAGCAAGGAAGGGGTTGAGATTGCTTCGTGGGCTGGGGCCCAGTCATTGGTGGGGTTTGCGAACCTGGGTAAGGTCTTCGGATGTTATTTATGGGATGCCATTGGAGGGTTTTAAATGAGTGATGTGAGCTGATTTACATACACGTGGATCTGTGGTAGAAAGGCTGGAGGGGGCAGTAGTGGGGGCAGTAGTGGGAGCAACGGCAGCAGTTAGGAGACCAGGGCTACAGCTGGAGTGACAAGCAGTCAGACTCAAGCAGAGTGCACAGGTTACTAACATGATGGCAGCTGTGCAGATCGGGGCCGCAGGAGTCACACTGACCCATTTTAAGTTTGAGATTTCCATTCGTCGTCCATGGGGCTGTACCTCATGTCTGGGGTTTGAGCTGGAGGTAGAGATTTGGAAGTCACCAGGGATGCTATTTAAAGTCTCGGGAATCTATGACATCTGGGGACTATAGAGAGAACTGGAAGCCTGGGGTGTGCTTGGGCAGGCTGCCATCTATCTCAGGAGAGCATGTGGGATTAGATTTGGGATTAGGGAAGCCACTGTGGGGGGTGGTATGGAAACATCTGGTCAGAAACTTCTGGGCTTTCACCAGGAACCAGAGGAAATACTTAGCTTTGGTGAAGTTGGTATCTTGGGAAAAAGTGATGGCCAACTGACTACAGTTTCCCCATAGATCACCCCGGCAAAGAGATCCAAGCTAGCCCTGCCCCAAATCCTGCACACAGACACACACACACACCCTGGCAAAGGTAGTATTTATTTCCAGGGTGGGATCCCTGCTTCCAGACTCTGAGTAGTATGTTTATCGATTAGACAAAAGGTCAGCAAACTTTTACTGTAAAGGGCTAGATGGTGACAGTTTTAGTCTTTGTGGGCCATAAGAGCTCTGTTGCAACTACTCAAATCTGCCATTATA